ATCTTCTGTGTCACACGCGGAAGGAAGGAATTCCAGGCATCACTGAGAATACTAGAAGGTGCCTTGTGCAGTGTGAGACTGAATGTGGCCGTTGGAAGGACAGGTGTTTTTGCTTTGGCACTACATGTGTGCTCTTAAAACAAAAACCAACCTTCTGCAGAATCATTTACTACACTAAAAATGAGAGAGGTGTTGGGAAAGATAGGGTTAGGGGCAGGTCACTCAAAACCTACGGAACTGTATACAGAGAAGGTAGATCTAGACAATGAAAATATAAATGAAAACACAGGGGCGCCTGGGTGGCTCAGTTGGTTAAGCGACTGCCTTCGGCTCAGGTCATGATCCTGGAGTCCCGGGATCGAGTCCCACATCGGGCTCCCTGCTCGGCAGGGAGTCTGCTTCTCCCTCTGACCCTCTTCCCTCTCGTGCTCTCTATCTTTCATTCTCTCTCTCTCAAATAAATAAAATCTTTAAAAAAAATAAAATAAAATAAATGAAAACACGGACACAGGTAAGCCACCCATAGCATTTGCACCTGGAGCCTGGACAGCCCGTCCTTTGCAGCCTTACCCCCAGGCTCCTACTGCTTCCTTCTGGGCATGGCGCCTTGAAGACACTCACTTCTAATGGAGACCAGGTTTCATCAAAATTACACCTAAAACCCAAGGGGAGTTTCTTCATTATGATATTTAAATACAGGGGGAAATATCTCTAGTTTTTTCATTTGTATTTGCAACCTCCTGGGTACTTTAATGTCATGGAAAGTTCATTCACTACAGCCGTCATTTCTCGCTCTAGAGGAAGGAATTTAAACAAGATTATCAGCCTTTTCTTAAGGTGTTCACTATTGCTGAGACTTTTCCTTTCTTTGTGAGAGAACTTGCTCTTGATCTTGTCATAACATTAATGTGCTGAGAAAAGTCATGTATGAATCAACACAATATTTGCATTTTATTGACTTCATTTTCCTTTTTCCCCGATTACGTATCAGCTAAATCCCCCTGAAGACACATGTCTGTTGATGGTTTAGGGTAACCATTAGGAGAAGAGGTCCCCCGTAACCTTTGGTATTTCTCAGACCTGGATCCTATGCTGCCTTGGCCCAGGTGTATCAGCAAGACACGCTCTTTAGAAGAGCAACCCCGGGGTGGGGGTGGGGAATCCCAAGACCTTTTCAGGGAGTATACAGGTCCAGACTATTTCCATGGCAATATTAAAATGTTACTTTAATTCTCTGTGTCATCCTTTGCTCTGGGGCCACAAGGCAGTGGTGGTCAAACTGCTGGCTTCGTAGCACTAAGAGAGGGAGTGGTACTGACTGCCAGTCATGGCATTTGTTCTGGTCCTTCTTAGCCATCTTCTTACATCTCGTGTTACCGTTCTGGGGGATGAGATGGGAAATGTGTGGGAACTAATTCTGTCTCATGCTGAAGTACCGTGCTTGCTCAAAGGAAAGCATCACGTCTTGAGAGGTCTTCTAAGTATCCAAGTGGACATGTCCGGTTAGCAGTTCTATGTAACTATCTCTTCACTGAGCTACTTAACATATTTGGACGTATCCGAACATACATCAGTTTTAATTCATACGTGAAAGTATTAGATTTCACTCATCTTGTATTGAGAGAAAACACTTCAACATCCCGATTTGGTGCATTGCAGAAGTTACAAACTTAAAAATACACTCACAGAGGTGTCTCAGTTGTCTTTTCCGACTGGAGACTACATCTTGTCTAGAGAGTACCAGGGAAAAAAGATTACTTGAAATAAATATTTAAAAGGCAGTACTCCTGCTTTTAACTCCTTCCCCCTCCCCCCTGACCAGTCCAAGGAGAAATCAGGAATCCGAGAATCAGAGCCTTCATCCTTGCATTGTATATATGGATTTACTTAAGAGAGATTTAAAAACATCAAATTTGCCAACCACTGTCTGCAGAACTGTTGGGCTCAGATTTGATTTCTGTAATCAAACCTCACTAAATTTTTGCTTTGAGTCCCTGTTGATTGGCTGTAAAAATATTTTAAAGTATAATGTTCTGTAATAGAAAAGCATAAAAGCATTTGTCTCAGAAGCATGTTGTACTTGATCCTATAAAGCAATGGTTGCTAAGGGAACTATTTGCCAGGAAAAACAAAGTATCGATTAGGGCGGGGGGCATGGAATTAAAAAGATTTCCTCTCAAAAAAGAAAATAAAGGTATATAAGACATTTTGGGGTTCAGAGTCCACAGCTTCCTAACTGGACAGGGTGGCCATGCCATTTTTTAGAGGGGACAGTCAGGCTTACCTGTGCATCTTCCCATGCAGCCTGTTACTGCTGCCAAGAGACTTTTGCTGGAAACAAAGCAGGAATCAGTAAGGTGTTGGGGAAAGCATCAACGGCAATTGCCTTTTAATTCGGATTCCACATTCAAAGAGAATGGTCTTCCTAGAAAACACATGGACAGCAGCATTGACCATACCAATGATGAAATACATGGCTAGATATATCGTATAGTACTATTATATACTACAGTACATAAAGTTAATGGACACTGTACTAAGTTTTGGGGTTAAGGGGGTTCAAAGTTGGATAAGACGCTACTCCTACACACAAGGACTCTACCTAGTGGGGAAGTTTGACTTACATAAAGCCATTACCACAGGGGACCAGAGGTCTGTGCACCTGCCTCAAGGAACATGGAAAATGGAGCCGTTCATAGTGGAGAAGACTTCCCCAAAGCAGTCACATTTGAACTGGGTCTTGATGGATGAATAGGAATCACCGTGGGAAGAAGGGAGGGGGGTGTTCTAGGTAGATGATACTCCATGAGCAGAGGTGGGGAAGCAGTTATTAAGGGTTTGTAGTGAGACCCTCAGAATGCTTAGAGCATTAGGATGTGTGAGGGATTGGTGAAAGATGAGTCTGTAGAAGTACAAGCCATATCATGAAGAACGTTTTATTCTGCAATAAGAATGTTGGGCTTTTTCTTGTTGGCAAGAGAGAACCACTGAGCAGGTTTGTTTTTTGGGGACGAGGATTCCCCCATGCTGGGGAAAGGAGTGGTGGAGGGACAAGAGGGTAATGGCAGGGAGACTGGGGAGAGCATGTTGCAGTCCTTCAGGAGAATGAGGTCTTCAGGGAGTTCTAGTTCTAATGGAGGGTAAGGAGGTTTACTGTGGGAAAGGATCATCAGAATCCATTCAGTTTGGTGATGGATTAACTGTACATATTTATAAAAATAGTAATAAATATTTCTTCTCAGAATATGATGGGGAAAGGAGAAATAGATAAAGGAGAAATAGAAGAAACTAGTTTTCCAGTGGTTCAGATGTTACTCGATTTCTTACAAGTTTTTAAGTTCCTAGGGTTGAACTGAGTTACAGATTTGAATATAAAGTCACAAAAATTCCTTCATGACAAATTTCACTGAACTGGATTAGGAGAGTGGTACTAATAGCTTGTTCAAAAAATAAATGTAGAGATGGGAAATCATTTATGTGTCCCATGTATTATATATTATAACTGAAGACTTATCAACAATTTTCCCACGTTGAGTTGTTTCATTATGTTCTTTTCTGGCTTTCCTTTCAGGATAATTTAGTAATTTCACTGTTGTCTTGAAGGTAGGAATGAACCTTTGTGTGTTTACATGTTATTTCTAAAAACCAAATACAGGCTAAACATCTTAAAACAGATAAATTATGTTTTTGTTTAAACTTGTAAAATCATTTTACTAAGAGCTGAGACTTTGATCAAGTAAGTGAGCCTGAAACCAGAACAGAAGAGGTTTTCAAAGAATTGCTTTGAAGCTCTTTATATTGTAAATGATTTCTAAAGACCCCTTGACAAGAAAATTATTTCAGCGAGGGAGAATAGCCTTTTGCAGTAAGTTAGTGATGTCACCAGAAGCAAAATTTAGCTGTAAAAAAAAAAAAAAAAAAATTATAGCCATCTGTTTACACTGTCTTCTATGAAAACACATTCTCAAGATGGCTTTATACCTGCCTTCGTTTGAGCAACAGGTTTAAGGTATCTTAAATTCAAGCACTTTAAAAAAATTCTCTCCAGATATGGTTATCAGAAACATGTTTACTATTTAACAGGTAGTACCTAGTTAAGGTACCTTAAAGTATCTATGAAAGATAATGTTGAGAGTGTTGAGAGGGGAGAAAACTCACAGAGTGCTCCAGAGGTTCATAGAGAAATAGCCTGATTTCCTGTAAGAGGTGTTTTCAGCTGTGAGGAATAGCATTACGGATTGAGTCGGCCGATGGTTCTGTCATGCTTGTGTCTTGTTTCATTTGTCTGAGCTGGAGCCCACGAACGTAGTTTTGAAATCTGCTTTGTTTCTTACAGTCTACTCCTATGATTGCATTACCAGGGTAGTGATTTGGTCTCAGCTTCAGAGTATGACTTCCTCAGCCTCTCACTAAGCGGGTCGCCCTCAGTTTTGTTCTCCTCTCTGGCTTTGGTTTTGGGTGGACGTTAGCATCTGAACTGAAATGCGTTTGCGGAATCTCCACTGCTGTGTCCATTCTTCCTTCTTTTGGTGGTGTCTGAGGTTTTATGTTGATTAGCTGTCTTGATGCATTATGGCTGTTTGAAACCCAAAGCCCATCTCCACCAGATGGACTGAAAACAAAACAAAACAAAACAAAAAACTGTGGGTATTTTTGAATCATTTTGTAGGTGGACTGAAGTGTCTCCTGTAATTTTATTGAAAGTAGGAAAATCCAGGAATCTTTGTTTAAAATGACACATAAGAGAAGTGGTGGTTTTTGATCCCACACATTTGTATATATGGTTATTTAATGTCTACATGTATGGCTCTGTTTCCCTTTTCTCACTTATTTGGAGGTTGGATCTCATTCATTTGTCAAATTGCAGCCAAAACCACCTTTTGTAAATCGAGGTGTGGATATCAGGTGTTAATCTTGACATCTTTGCACATTTTTGCTTTCAAACAGGCCTTTGAATGAAGCCGCAAGCAAATATTATGTGGTTGTTAATTGTTTTACAGATGAGAACTGGGACGATGACCAGCTGCTTGGTTTTGAACCCTGCAATGAAAACCTTGTCTCTGGCTGCAATATAATCAATGGGAAATGTGAATGTGACACCATTCGCACCTGCAACAATCCCTTTGAGTTTCCAAGGAAAGATACGTGCCTTTCAGCTTTGAAGAGGATTGAAGGTAAGTACTGATTCTCAACAATTGTCAGGCTTAGGACTGTGTCATATTTGAGCTCGAGGAGGCAAAGACACGCTTACAGAGATTGATACCTTTTATAATCCCAAACAAGATGCATAAAGTTGACCGAGTACTGACGTGATGATGTGTGTGTACCATGTACATCTGTGTTTTCTGGAGGTCATGGATTTGGTAATGCTGTGGTCTCATGAGCAGGGTAGTTTGTGCCAGCTTGCTTAGGTCACCTCTGCATACTGGCTGATTTCACAAGTGGTGTGCTTGAAATTGGCATCTGTTGTCACCAGGTCCATTCCGCTTGATTTACCGTAGACTGGTGCTCCATGAGGAGAGTGCTAATTAGAAATGCAGCTCATCTGACAAGGAAGTATGTCTCTTTAACAGAGATGGGAGAATTGCACAGAGGTGGTTGAAGGCTCAGGTGGGTTTTGCCGTGGGGCAAAACCACATAGGTGTGGATGGGCCAATGGGTGCTTCGCCTGTGGAATGAAGTCAGAAATTACATTAAAATAACAAAATTGTACTAATATAGCCCATAACTTTTGTACATTCCTGCATAAAACCTAGACAAAAGATTGGAGACGTGGAAGTATGATTCCTAGCTTCAGTAATTGCGAGTGGCATGGCCAGAGCTTGGTACCGTGGCTCGCAACCAGGATTAACAAAGGATAAGGCCACAGACCAGCATGAAACTCTTTCCTAGCTCCATGTTCCTCTTGAGGAACAAAAAGAGCCAAGCCAGGCATTCTTAAGTATACCTGTTATCTCTAAAATGATGTCATTCTTAGATGGAGAGTTTGGTAATATGGTTTGGAATACCAAGAATTTGTGAGATCTCATAAGGGCAGTACAGCAGGACTGAAGTTGTTGAATTGTGTTAAGTTTCCAACTCATATTAAATGGTAATAAAGAATAAGAAATTTATAATTGCCTCTAAAATAGCTTTTCTCTTCGTATTTACCAATGCTGCTAAATCATTAAAAGAGATTATAGTGGGAAACAATGGAAATAAAGTTTTAGAACTACAGAGAGTCTTAGGTAATATTTAGTCTGGTCCTTAAACTGGAAAATTGGAAAACTGAGCTCCATGCAACTTCTCAGTAACAAGCCTGGGACTAACCATGTAAAGTATTCTTCCAACTGCATCATGATATTGGACAACATGTTACCTAACTCATTTTTACCATCTTGTGGCTCTTTGCTCACCCCTGTCCCTACCCCATTGCTTGCCAAAAGAGAGTATTTTGCCAATTTTAGCATATAAACTTGCAGGGATATAGATGGAGTGGTCAGATATCTATTGCAATAATTTAGGTACTCATACATATTGAAAATCACATGATCTAAAACAATAAAGCAATTTAGATGATTTTTGCCACTCTCACGTTTCACAGAACTTTTTTTTTTCCCCCAGACGTTTCAGATGTATCATTGTCACTGCCACTGTCTTTGTTCCGGCTACTTTCCAAGTCATTTAACCCCTTGTTCCCCGGCAGGCTCTCTTCACTGCCATCTGAATGGTCTGACAGGCAGCAAGTTGTGAATCTAAGTTATCACAAGAAGTAGGTTGTGAATCTAAGTTATCACAAGTTTTGTTCAGAACTCAGTGTCTTTTCACATAAAAGTGGGACAGTTGCATTTTTAATTAGTTAGGCATATATTTATGATCTTTACAATGTGGAGATTAATGGCATTGATTTTTAAAGTGATTCTAAGAAGGCTGTTTATAAGATCCAGCACTTCCAATTTTGAGAGCTTTCCCTCAGGAATAATTACTGTAGCTGATTAAATTTCTTTACTTTTTTTTTTTTTTTTTTAAACAGATTCTGTCAGATGACCTCTATATAATCCAAAAGTAGAACTGGTTGAGCTCATTTAAAGTTAATGTATCCTCTACAAAGAGTACTTTGTTTTTTTCAAAATAAAGCACCCTGCAATATTCAAGATCTTATAAGAAGTCAGTATTAGGGATTTCCCTCTTCTGAGAAACAAGTTTGAAGGAGAAAGCCCTGCCTATTTTCAAGTGCATATGAAAGAATTAGTGATGGTTTGGTACTGTGTACAATGGGGAGCTGTTAATAGGAATGAAGACTTAGAATGCTTCTAGGAATTTAAGGCCAGAAAAGTGTGACCTGGAATTGTAGGGTAAGGTGTCATGGAGGAGGTAGAGTCTGAACAATTTGGAATTTGCGTGGTGATGGGCTCTAGGAAGGAGAACAATGTGGACAAAAGAATGAAACATAGAAGCAGGATTTACATGACTTAAGTAAGACACTGGGGACGGTGGTCTAAAAGAGCAAGGTTTTGAGGCACCTGGGTGGCTCAGTCAGTTAAGTGTCTGCCTTCAGCTCAGGTCATGATCCCAGGGCCCTGTGATTGAGCCCAGTGTCAGGCTCCCTGCTCAGCGAGAGCCTGCTTCTCCCTCTCCCTCTGCCTGCCGCTCTGCCTACTTGTGCTCTCTCTCTCTCTGTCTCGCTGTCAAATAAATAAATAAAATCTTTAAAAAAAATAAGTAAAAGAGCAACCTATGTTGCTATCAACCTATGTTGATAGGCTAGAGGAAATAAAGATGGGGAGCAGCCTGGGACTAGATGACAGAGTGTCTTCGCATCTCAGGGGGAGCTTCAGCCCAGTAAGAGGAACTATCAGGAACCATTGCGGGTTTATGAGCGGAGAGAATCAGAGCCTGGCAAAGCCCTCGATCGGCAGATGGGATTGTGGGGGGGATGCGGATTGGGTTAGCAGGGGAGATACTGCGGTCTGGAGGCTCCCTGGAGAGCTGTTTCAGTTATTTAGATGTGGTGCCACTAGAGACTGGACTGGCGGCTAGCAGGGAAACAGCAAGGAAGAGATGGATACACACCATTTTGCTGAAAGAACCTACAGTATCTGCTAACAGATCCTGTGGCAGGGACAAAAATGCACAAAGATGATTCTAGGGTCCTCCCCCCGAAATAGCACAAGAACGATAGTACAAGTCACACGGAAGTAGGGACACTTTTGAGATGTTTGTGCTTTTGAGATGTTTGGAAAGTGGAACTGGAGAATGGGATGTTTGTTTTAGGGACATAGAGGGTCAAGAGGGATTTTAAAAATATGAGGATATTACAGCATGTTTGAATGATGACCAGAATGATCTAGTAAAAAGCAAGAAAGCACTTAATGTAAGAAGGGGCATGATTGCAGGAGCCAAGTGTTTGAGAGAGGAGCAAAATTATTTTTCTCAGACACGATAAAACAAGGCTGTCAGCTGACACTGAGGGTGGGAGAAGAGGTGTGAAATCCTGAGGAGGAGGCGGAGGAGGTAAACCAGACGTCTCGGTTTGAGGGGGGACGAGCAGTAACCAGGGCAGTGGGTTCTGCTCGCGCGCTGGCGCTGGCAGCTCACTGGAGGCTCCCGGTTACACACTTGAAGGGCCACCAGCTGACACAGTCGTGTGTTTCCTCCAGCTTCTGTGCAGACGCAGTGTAGGTGGAGAGCTGCATCTGACCACGATTGGGATTTTTCCTGGTACATCTGAGAGGAAGAGAAGGGCAGAGATTGAGGGTCATGCAGGAATCTTCCCAGTGGTAGTGCGTGACCTGTGCCAGGAAGGACAGGAGCAGTGATCGGGGAAGACGCAGCTCCATGCAGCACGTCCACAGTCCCCCATTGCCTGTGCTTCACGTGAATGAGGTTTCCTTTTTTAAAGGGGAAAGGGAAGAGTGATCTGAAAGCGGCAGTGAGAGCAGAGGGGACACCGCCCCACCCTCAGGTTTATGGAGTGTGGGAAAGGAAGCTGTCCCTACACAAGAGGACTTCAAGGGACAGAGGAGCTAGGGAGTACCCAGGTTTCTGTTAAAACACAGAAGTGAGGGGAGAATGATGGCAGAGGGGATGGTGGTGATGGCAGACCATGAGTTCTAGAAGGCACAGGAGAAGGATTTGGGAGGGGGGTTGTGCAGGGCATGGATGATTTTGCAGAGCCCAGTAAGGGTGAGAGTCCAGTAACGATGAGTGACCTAGTAGATTAGACTTGGTTCTTGGTGTTCTCTTGTGGGAAGATGAACAGTTGGTTCTAGTTAAAGCCCTCTTTGTAGGTCCATTCTCCTGGGGCAGTTTTTAGCATTTAGGTGTGCAGGGTCAGGAGTGGGGCAGAAGGAGCAGTATTCTTGCCAGAGTGTAATGAGAAAGCACGTGTCCTCATTTCTGTGCTTTGGGAGTAAATTCTGAGCATGAGTTCTTTTTTTTTTTTTTTTTAAGATTTTATTTATTTGTTTGAGAGAGAGAGAGGATGAGAGATAGAGAGCACGAGAGGGAAGAGGGTCAGAGGGAGAAGCAGACTCCCCGCCGAGCAGGGAGCCCGATGCGGCACTCGATCCCGGGACTCCAGGATCGTGACCTGAGCCGAAGGCAGTCGCTTAACCAACTGAGCCACCCAGGCGCCCATGAGTTCTAAACATAACCACAGCAACATTAAAAAAAAACGTGTGGAAGTCATTGCAGGGCATTTCAATATCATATTTATAGATTTATGAAGAATATTTGTGATTTCTGGGTATTAAACAAGTTCCTGTATATTACTTACATCCTTTTAAAAGGGGAGGAGTTGGTCCTGGATTTTACCAAATGTTTTCTTTCCTTAAATACATGACCACATCACCGTAAGATCAGTTGGTCACAACTGTAGAGGCAACAGGACACTGGGTCACAGCCAGCCATGGTGCTGTGCAGAAGGCTTGTCAAATCCTCTGTGTTTCTCCAAAGAGGAGGAAGTCTGATAAAGGGAATGACCTGCAGGTCACCCCACCTTGGTCATAACAAAGCTTATAATTTTATGCTCCACTCTCTACTCATCCTTGATTTGGTATGTGTTATTGAGCTTCACAAAAGTTAAATTGATAGACCGTCAGAGGAGGGGATGAAAGTAGCAAGAACAGTACCGGTCCCTGCAGCTGCCGGGTGCTCTGGAGGAGCCACTCTGAGCTTAATAACCATAGTCAGA